ATTTCTCTGTCACCCCCTAGGATATGATTTTTCTGTCACCCCCTAGAGTGATTTCTCTGTCACCCCCTAGGATATAATTTCTCTGTCACCCCCTAGGATATGATTTTTCTGTCACCCCCTTGAGTGATTTCTCTGTCACCCTCTAGGATATAATTTCTCTGTCACTCCCTAGGATATGATTTTGTGTATGATTTTTCTGTCATCCCCTGGGGTATGATTTTTCTGTCACTCTCTTGCGTATGATTTTTCTGTCACCCCCTGGGGTATGATTTTTCTGTCACTCATTTGCGTATGATTTTTCTGTCACCCCCTGGGTTATGATTTTTCTGTCAATCTCTTGCGTATGATTTTTCTGTCACCCCCTGGGGTATGCTTTTTCCGTCACCCCCTGGGGTATGATTTTTCTGTCACCCCCTGGGGTATGATTTTTCTGTCACCCCCTGGGGTATGATATTTCTGTCACCCCCTGGGGTATGATTTTTCTGTCACCCCCTGGGGTATGATTTTTCTGTCACCCCCTGGGGTATGATTTTTCTGTCCCCCCCTGGGGTATGATTTTTCTGTCACCCCCTTGGGTAAAACAGATAACACAATGAACGCTGTCATAACACAATAAAGAATTAATAAGGTGACGTCATGGAAACAGTAAAATATGATGTCACAATATCATCTTTCAAAGGGAGATAACACGTTTAGAACAGAACAGAAAACAGCTAGATTACAAATATTAATAACCATTGTTTTGGAACAAATCATTGATAGAGTGCAAGAAATCTTCCCCTACGTATACAGTGAGGGTATGATCCTAGAGAAATATTAACCTTTAGGGTGACATTCTTAAACATCAAATTCTCCACTTGTACCATTAAAATACCAACTCTCAGGGTGACATTCTTAAATATCACATCCTCCACTTGTACCATTAAAATATCAACCCTCAGGGTGAAATTCTTAAATATCACATCCTCCACTTGTACCATTAAAATATCAACCCTCAGGGTGACATTCTTAAATATCACATCCTCCACTTTTACTATTATGATATAAACCCTCAGGGTGACATTCTTAAATACCAAATCCTCCACTTGTACCATTAAAATATAAACCCTCAGGGTGATTATATTCTTAAATATCAAATCCTCCACTTGTACCATTATAGCCTCAGGTAAGCCTATCCTAGGAATATCACCCCTCATGTAGAGATTTCAATTAGTTAATACCTTCAAGGTAAGGGTAAGATTTTGTTATTAACCCGATGTGACCGGGCAGTGGAGGAACATAGTTTGGAGACAGAGGAGTGGACACAAGTCATTGTGAAGATGTACTGTACTGACCTTAGGGGTTTTATAATCCTTCTCCGAGTTATAATCAACCTCCTGCACTGGTTCTAAAAAGAGGTTGATTTTAAGTTGACATAATCTCGAGGCCACATCTTCCGCCATTATTCTCTTGTCTCTTGTCACTTTCACCGATTCCAACACCAAACTTTGTAAACTTCTGACCTCCAGACTTGGTCAGTAACATCTCCAAACGGTTTTGGAATCCCATGAAAACACACGACCCCCTCAAGTCATTGAAATCCTATATACATTTGTACATAGTACTATGTGACGTCCGTGATGTAGCCTTTCACTGACGGTCTTCGCTTAATACTCCTTCTACTTAGTTAAAGGCATAGCTAATATTGTACTAAGATGAATCTCATTCTCATTAACATATGTTGTGAGTTTTGGACAAATATTTGTATTTCTCTTGGGAACCATTCAATCTAGAGAGCAGCCAAGGTGAACTTTACTATCATCCTATGTATATAACACACACCAGTATAATGTATACACAGCTCTAGTCTTACCATCTCAACAAGTTCTCACTACCCAGACACACAACTTGACCAACAATGTGAAAAACACTGCATATTTGGTAAAGATCTTCTCCGTAACTCCTAACCTAGGGTCTGAAATGTTAGTTAAACTTGCAAGCACAGATGACAACAGTGAAAACAGCATATAGGTCACCATTTAGCCTTCACGAGGGGCTTATCCTGCCAGCTGATTCTCCCACAATATGCATTCAAGTTTTATCTACATGTATACCTACATGCTTCGCTCAATAGAAAGCCTAGTAAGTTTAATACACAAGAAAACGAAAATCAAAAGGCATATTTATTCCCGTTTTGTGTCAAATCTGGTCAAGAAACTTTTAATTATGAAAGAATTTAGTCATGGATTATCAGTAATTATGTTATTAGACCGTTAATATGATAAATTATGGATGATTGAATTTTGTTTAAGTGTTACGGTAAAGCTTGCTAATCCTTTAAGTTGCTTGGACTATTGGGAGCCTTATACACCTATAGCAGGTAGACAGTCAGAATTAGCCAATAAATTTAAATCACTAATTCTACAATACACAGCCTTTGTGTTCTAACAGAGCATACAAGAGCAGAGGCAGGCAAAACAAAACCCTTTCCTCCGCCTGACAGACCCTCGTATCCTCAGCCCGGCTTGATGACGTAGGTACTGCTGTATCATGAATACTTGTGTATTGAAATTTAACCTCATTGTAAAGAAAGGAGAGAATATAAATAAACAAATAAATATTATGTCTGAGCAAACATTTGAGTACTATACAAAAAAAAATGTCAGCACCTCGGTTGATGTGACAGTAAAATATACACAAATTTAAAGAGCGTGTCTGGTTTCAGGTATACTGTGTAATACCCAATAGAGCGGTTTAAGGATCCCCGTACCACTGCCAAAAACGTTAACTACATACGCTGAATTTACGAATGAGCATAAAACACAAATCAGAATGGTTCAGAGTGCTTCAATTTTTATTGCTTAACTGTAAAAGCTTTAAATTTCGTTAGGGGTTAAATTTCACGGTTGCTGCAAGGGAGTGATTTCATCCAAGTTATAGTTCAATTGGGAGAAGAAATCATTTAGACTAAAGTGTGTTAAATCTGGTAAACACTACATTGATATTGTGGTAAAAGTTTCAAAAAGGTTTGTTCAAACATCAAAAACCATTAAAGTATATACAAGACGGGGAGGGGGGGGGGATGGAAGGCGGGGAGAAGGGGAGGTTAAAGGTATGATCAGACGGTCGATTATCAAAATTGATGACAACGATACATTTTGATTATGAGTTTTATTGAGGTCATGATCATCTAACGATGTTTTCAGATCAATTGTCACACGGATAAATGGGACATGTTGAATGACGGGGAAAATCATTTGAACAACACGTTTAAGTCATGCAGTCAGCATTTTGATTATGAGTTTTATTAAGGTCATGATCATCTAACGATGTTTTCAGATCAATTGTCACACGGATAAATGGGACATGTTGAATGACGGGGAAAATCATTTGAACAACACGTTTAAGTCATGCAGTCAGCATATGGTACGATCTAGATTATCGGTCAAGTAAAGTTGATATTATCATATAAACCCGCTGTAATTGGTTATATTTAGCCCAGCTGACACAAACTGTTAATGGAGTAACTGAATGCATGCATACGTACAACTGATCTTGTAACGGACTGATAATTGTAGCCAACTTGTAAACACCACTGTAAACCTAGTTCCAATGTACTCGTCTGGTTCACATATTGTGTTTTGTTAATTAAATGCTTGACATAACGCTTCATTTACTGTAATAACTGCCTTTATTGTAAGCACTCAAAAGACCAGAGTGGATGTATGTTCATTGAAGTGTTCCAATATACAACCATCGGCAGCAAAAACCCGACGACACGGTTTCAAACAGATATTGGTGATCTTTGGACAGTCAATGATCCAAGCCATATCAGTCAGTTTAGTGATAGCTTTAACATAAATTCTGTCCATAAGAATTTACTGTGGTTTTGACAAAATACAAACAATTTCCATCAAGGTACAGTTGATGGGTACTACAGTCACAAAGCCACATATTTGAAGAATATCTGTAAGGTACATTTTTGTGGATTTTCTAGATCCCCAAAGTAAAATAAACTTCTTCTTTTTTTATATTGGTATATTTCTTACAGAGTCATTTAATCCAGATGTGTTCATCAACACTGTGTAAACATGATAGTATTTTTTATGCTGTAAATGATAACAAATACATATTTAGTTTACACCATGATATTTTGTAAAATAGAAAACTCTGTAGCAGGCTGAGGAATGTCCCTTTGCTCTGTGGTTGACCTAAAAATAGCAGTGACCTTGGGATTGACATTGGGACTTAGAAATGTAAACTCATCTAAGGTATTCTCATACTTGACCTTTGTATAAACTTTAAAATTTCATAACAATCTGGTGAGAATTAAATGAAGTTGATAGAGATGTTACAGTGAAGCTTATAATGTAGGTCAACTTTGTTCAGTATTATCCACATGCATGTAGCGCTCATATAAAGTCCCTCCGATAGGAAGTTAACGATTCTTCATAATGTGATATTATGTTAAGAAAGTTACTGAAGCATAAAATGTAGGTCAGCATCTGCAAAAAGCCTTCGGTACACTTATCTGAGCTGAATCATTAATAAATACAAGTATATCCATGAATCACTTAGTTTCCCAGATATAGACTTAACCATTTAACTTCATTTGATGTATGACGTAATATTAAGGAAATCTCTGAAGCGTAAAATATATGTCAAATTCCACATCCGCAACATACATTCAGTGAAGGACTCTATATGTCTCATTATTGATGCAAGTATTATCAATGTAGCACTTATATTACCCAGATATGGATTTACCAACTTATAACTTAATTTGGTGTACAAGGCAATATCAAGGAAGTCACTGAAGCGTAAGATGTGGGTCAAATTCAGCATCTGCAACAGGTATTCAGTAGGACCACAGGACGACTCTATTTGCATCATCGACAAAAGTATATCTGAACTTTGTATAGCACCTAGAGTTACCCAGAAATAGACTCAAAAATTTTTCTTACATGAGCATATCTTAAGGAAGTCACTGAAGCATGAAATATAGGTCAAATTCAGCATCAGCAATATGCATTCAGTAGAGTGCAGACCTTATAGCTGCATCAGTGACGATATCCATGCAAGTATTGTCAGTGTAGCACTTACTGTAACTCAGATATGGACTTTCTTTTGTCTGAGTGATGGACCAAGCCCTTTACTATAATTCGATCCTGAAAGCTACGTTGAGCAGGGGATTAAAAAAACACTTTAATAGAAGAGTAAATATACAATTGGGCAATATCGGGATTCATTAAGACCTGGATCTCTGAACAATATACTGTCACTCTAAACAACTAAATTACCCGGTCAATGGTAATTAATCACCTGGTTACATCTTGTTACAATTGCTTCAAAACCAAATGAAGGGTTAAGGTTACTGTCTACATGTATGGAGAACTGCAGTAGAATTCTCTCGTGTTTCAATTGCCTCTACAGTGGGACAAGGATCCTTAAGGTACCATTTAATTATTTGTCAAGTGCTGAATAAAGGCGCTGGTTTTGTACTGATAAGTGTATGGTATATAGGCGATACTAGACCAAATATTTGTATGGGTCAAACATGTATGACGTCATTAGATCGTTTATGATGACGGCAGTAGTGATAAAGCCGTACATTATCACCAGCGGCCTCACAAAGAGATAATGACATCACAATATCGTAGACTGGTGTAGGACTACACAATGGTACAGTCGCACTCACAGACCCCCAAGTGCTCTACATTCAAAAGATCACATTATCGTACTGAATGAAGGTCAAAGATCAAACAAATATACATAAACATCCCAGTGGATAAAGGTCAGATTTCAGAAAGAAAGAAAAAAAACTAAACAAGAGGCCTAATAGGCCTTTAGAGTCACTTGAGTTGTAAGTTGTAAGGCCAAAAATGAATTATGTAGGTTTCAGGTTAACTTACTTACCCTAGCTTTTTGTCCTCCGTAGAACAGTTTATCACCTAGCTGTACCAAGATTGATTTATTAGCCAGCAGAGCTCACACTCATGCATTCATTAAATGTACTTTGACCTGTAGAGAGAACCTGACCCCATTCCTGACAGCTCAAGTGGAAATACAATGTTAACTTGTATAGGAGGCTTGATATTGATTCATAATTTTTTTTTTTAAATATATAATAATAAATTCAAGTTATTTGCCTCCCGTCAGACCCTAAAGCTTTCTGTTAATTGTTACGTGAAACACAGATATTTTGTTTCGGCCTAATATCAGTCTTTATTGTAGCTTCAATGTAACATGGATGTTATAATCATGCATCCAACTCAGAAATGGAAATACACAAATATTGACTGGCCGACAAAAATATCATTTTGGTCCCAGATTGGTCAACATATATCTTATATATAGTTAGCTGGTAACCTCAGAAAACAGACATATACTGAGTATGTAACGGGGGGGGGGGGGGGGGGGCCCC